AAGGTGGATCCGCCTCTGCCCGTGTTTGAAGAAAAACAAACATGAAATTTCGTTCCTCAATAAAGTGTTTATATTTTTTTTACCAGGTTTCATTCGATTTATTGTGAATTTTGATGATGGAAAAGCTAGCAAGCTACAACTTTAAAGCATACCTTATTTAGAAGGAGAGCATATTTATTATAGATGTTGAGGTTGAGTAAGGTGCGGATCTTGATGAGTGAAGCAAGTCACGCTAACCTAGCAATATTTTTCAGTAGCAAGCTACGGTATAACGATCCCCTGACCTAAGTTGGGGCGAAAGCTCCAAAATTCAAAATGTTGATTAGGGTTTCAAATCTTTCTCTAAAAATAACGTAAGCTTTTAAGACAACGCCCTTTGAAGGAACGGGCATAGTGAAATGTAAGTGTGAAAAGATTGGAAGATCTAGTCAAAGAAGATGATAGCCTTGTAGATTCGTTTCCATGGTTCAATTCTTCCTAGTAAAACGCAGTGTGTTCGAATTCTGATTGCTTTTACGCGATAATCGAATTCTGATTGCTTTTACGCGAGAAAGAGGGATTACCCTCTAAGCCTAAGTATTCCTCAATGACGAATAGTGTACGAGTACCGTGAGGAAAAGGTGAAAAGAATCCTATTTTGGTGTGTGGGAGGGGGGGGGGGGGGGGGGGGAGGGAGTACAATAGAGTACCTGAGATCCAATACGAACAATCAGTCGAAGGAGCGAAGCTTAGAGCTTTATTTTATGTAACTCTATTGACGTACCTTTTGCATGATGGGTTAACGAAGAAATAGGAACAATGACTTAAGCCATAGGTGTAGGCGCTTTCAAGAGGGAGAATCGTCTAGTTCTTTCTATTTCGGATAAGTTCTTCCTATTTTATCCGAAATCGATCGATCTAGCCATGAGCAGATTAAAGAAAAATGATTAAAAATTTAAAATTGGTAAATGATCCTTGGATGCTTTTAGATAATAGTTTTTTCTCTAGAGTCATTTATTTGTGGAAGTTCAAGATATGCAAGTCAAAGATCTGTTCTGTGAATATGGTAGAAGGTGGGATGAAAATATAAAACAAATTCTATCTTGTGATGAAAAGGAAGCAAAAATAATTAGTTTAAGATGGGAGACTGGTTGATTGATTTTGCATTTCACAAAGGAAGGATCTTGTATGGTTAAATCAGGTATATCTTTTTTACTTTCTCTCAAGATTTGGACTTTCATGGTGACTAAAAGAAGCTTTGTCACTTGAAGTTACCTCCGAAAATTAAGGATTTTACTTGTAGATTAGCTTAAAATATTCTACCTACTAGATTAAATTTAGAGTTAATACAATAAAACTCCCTTAAACTATTACTCTCTCCATTTCAATTTATGTGAACCTATTTCCTTTTTAGTCCGTGCCAAAAAGAATGATCACTTTCCCTATTTGAAAACAATTTACCTTTATGCAATGATTTATAGCCACACAAAATATATGTGCCTCATTTTACACCACAAGTTTAAAAGTCTTCTCTCTTTTCTTAAACTCCGTGCCCAGTCAAATGAGTTCACATAAATTGAAACAGAGGGAGTATATTTTTGTTAGTTTCCTACTTAAACTATTCGGTGTCCCCAAAACCTCTTTGAACTATATTGTCCTTCATATTAAAACCTCATCGTTGCTGACTTGGCATAACGTGGGTAAATGCTCACTTGGAAGTGCGTGGCAACTGAAAAAAGCCATCAAAACGGCCCACCTTACAAAAAATAATGGCTAATAGCCTATCCCTCTTTCAAATTTTTTTTTTTAATAAATATTTTCCTTATTTCAATTATATCCATCTTTCTTCCTCATTTTTTCACATTCTTCCTTATTTTTTCAAATTTCTCCTTTATTTCTCACCTTCTTCTTTATTTTTTAACATTTTTTCTTCAGTTCTCCATATGAGTTTTCTCTGAAATGATTTATTCTCTTTCTTATTTTAGTCTTCTTTCATGACTTACACATATTGTTGAAAGAATACCAATTTAAATCTTCTTATTAAACTCAACACCTTGTAGAGAATAAAATTGAATCTCTTGAACCTTCTTTATGTAATCTAGAATTAGTAAATGTAATTGTAGGCCAATTGATTTTTATTTGCGAAATTTTATTTTGTGTAATCTTTTTATGTAATATAAGATGACTTTTAAAAAATGCAACACTATATGCCTTTATTTATATTTTTACTGTGCTACAAAGTGAATATAAATTAGAACTTATTCAATTGGAGTCTAGCATAAAGTACAATCACAATAAAGCCTAAAATTAACACAATACATTAGATATTATTTTGGCCAGAACTCCTAAAATTAATCAATCATCCGAGAGTAATACATCATGAGTAAACTATATAATTTTTTTTTGTACAAATCATAAATTAATATAGTTTGGCAGACACATCTTTAAAAGTCCAACATGAAGTTTTAATCAGGGGCAGATCCACCCTTTAGGATGGGGGTGGTACGACACCCGCTAGATTGATAAAATTATCATATATTTATGTAAAAATATTCTTAAACTAGGTTAAATATTTGATTTTGCCACCTCCAATCGCAAACTAGACAAAGGTGCCATGGCTGGTAGACCTTTGTGAGAGCGTTTCTCGTGTGCAAAATTCAAGTTTGAATTTATCTTGAACCTTGTCTAACTTTCTTTTTTGTTGTGCTTTTTATTTCCTTTGTCCAAGTCATTTCCCTTTTTAGCTACCTCCCAATTTCCTATTTGTCGTTTATTTTTTTTTAATATGTTTTCCTCTATTCTATTATTTTATCTCTGATCTTTAACAAAGACACTCAAAAAAGAGCCTCCTATATTTTAAATACCGTGAAATAATAATTTCTCTTAATTCAAATCTTTTAATTTTTTTTTAACAAAATCAAAAAATTTGGGTCTTGATAGAAATTTTGGATTGAGATCAAATTTAATTTTTATAATTTTTTTTATTATTATAACATAAAAATTTATGTTATTCTATGATTGTTAAATACAATTTAACTATCTTTACTATTAAATTATGATGAATATTTCGGAAGTATTACTTAGAAAAATATGAGATTTTTTATTTTAATTTTTGGGATCTTGTAGTTTATCTAATTCTGCATTTACTTATGGTGTATAATTTATCTATTGAAGATATTTTTTTATTTTTCTTATTCTGATGGGTGGAATTTTCTTATTAAAGATGTTATTTTAGTTGTGCAAATTTACTTTTAGCATACAAAAAAAGATGCAGTTCCCTAGTAAAAATATTGATTTTACTTGTATTGTTAATAATAAAGGTGTGAATCCTTCTTTAAAATGCTAATTATATTTGCTTTTTGATATCTAAGATGTAATTTTTGTACAACAACACCAACATATCCAGTAAAATCTCACAAGTATATTCTGGGAAAGAGATATAATTTTCTAATTTTAAATAAAAAATGCCTATTAATTGCCTGAATAAACTAATAAATAAATAAATTGGACAAACGTTCCGAACAAACTCTATATTAGTTATTTTAAGGTGTACATTAAAAAAATTGTGGCTCCCGTCACCTTCAAATCCTAAATCCGCCTCTGGCTTTAATATATAGGGGAATATAGTTCAGGGGTTTTTGGGGATATCAGATAGTTTAAGTAGGTAACTGACAAAAAAATGATGGTTTAGGCGGGTTTTAGGTTGAGTTAAATAGCCACGTGAAGTGCTACATGGCAAGTTTTTTCGATAATTAGGAGCGTGCACTAGACACACCTCTAAGAATGCAATTGTGAGATTTTAATACGAAGGACAATATAGTTCAAGCGGATTTGGGGGACGCAGAATAGTTTAAGTAAGAAGTTGACAAAAACATAATAGTTTAGGGGGATTTTAGGATATTTAACTCTTAAATTTACTAGCTAGAGGTATTAATTATTATTTTTGTGGCTCGAAGAAAAATAGTGAACATATATTCCTTGATTGCGAGAAGGCGAGAGAAGTCCGGATTGCATGGTAGTATAAACTGGATGTAGAAGGCATTAGCATAAGAGTTTCTTAGAGGTGTTGTTAATGACTCAAATTCTTTGAAGGCTAGCGGACATGTATAGTCTTTTGGAAAATTTTGACCATGAGGAACGAATTTGTGTGGAATGGTAAAGTTCTTCCCCCTACTTATGTGCTATCTGAAGCTTTGAAATTTTTAAAAGATGAATGAAAAGCGATTGAAAAGTCTAGTAAGTACTTCCACTAGATACAACTGTCTTCCTTATTTCAGACTATAGTGGAGAGGAGTTGTGCGTGATTTAGGTTAGTTTGTAGATGCAACGTCTTCGATTTTTTGAGGTTGTATTAATGTTACGCATGCTGAAATTATGAGTTTATTTGCTCTGATTTAGATTTAGAGGCAAGCAAATCTAGTTGCTCATTATTTGATAAAAGAGTCTAAAAATTATGCTAGTCCTTTTTATTGAGAGTATATTCCTAATTTTATCGTAAACTTGGTTAGTTGGTGATTCAGCCTGGCAAAAATGAGTTAAAAAGAAAGTTAATGTCAGTGGTATTGGAATGGAGTTTTGCTTCATTTAGACCTGTTTTCCGCGCGCATTAACTCCTCATTAATTAAACTAATATATATGTTGGTATTTGGAATCCAATGCGGCATTAATTAATGTTGCCTTCCTAAATCTTAGCCCCTACTACAGATCCTCCTTCTTGC